CCTCCTAAATCCATGCTGGCTGGGCCTGATCTCCTGGTTGTCCTTTATGTGCCATGTGATTACACTCTAGATGATCTGCCCCACAACCTTGCTGAGCGCAAAGATCAGGTTGACAGGTCTGTAGAGTTCCCTGGATCCTCCTCCCAGCCCTTCTTGTGGATGGGCATCCCATTGGCCAACGCCTAGTTATCTGGGACCTCCCCTGTTATCCAGGACTAGTGACTAATGATGGAGAACAGCTTAGCAAGTTCTTCTGCCAGCTCCCTTTATCATTGTAGGATGAATCCCATCCTGTCACATAGACTTGTGAGCATTAAGTGGCTCAGAAGGTCACTAACTACTTCTTCCTGGATTACAGAGGGTCCATTCTGCTCCCATCCCTTTCTACTAGTTCAGGAGGCCAGTTGTCCTGAGGATAACTGGTCTTAATGTTGAAGACTGAGGGAAAGAAGGGGTTAGGTATCTCAGACTTTTCTTTGTCTTTGGTGACTGTATTCCCCCTCACATCCAATAAAGAATGGAGGTTTTCCTTGCCCCTCCTTTTGCTATTAATGTATTTATAGAAACACTTTTTTTGTCCTTAACAGAAGTGGCCAGATTAAGTTCTAACTGAGCTTTCACCTCTCTCACCTTCTTTCTGCATGACCTAATGATATCCTTAAACGCTTCCTGAGTTGCCTGCCCCTTTTCCCAAAGGTGGTACGCACTCATTTTTTCCCCTGAGTTCCTGCAAAATCTCCTTGTTCGGCCAGGCCAGTCATCTTCCCCAGTGCCTTATCTTTTGGCACATAGAGACAGCCTGCTCCTGTGCCTTCAAGATTCCTTTCTTGAAGTATGTCCATCCTTCCTGGACCCCTTTGTTTTTAAGGGCTGTTTCCCAAGGGACTTTCTGAGTCAGGGTCCTGCATAGCCCAAAATCTGCCCTCCAGAAGTCCAGGGTAAAAGTTTTGTTGACACCCCTCCTTACTTCACCGACTACTGAAAACTCCAGGATTTACTGGAGGTTGTGTCCAAGATGGCCTCTGACCACCACATCTCCCACTAGCCCTTCTCCGTTTGTAAACAGGTAGTCTAGTGGGACGCCAGCCCTGGTTTGCTCACTTACCAGCTGCAACAGAAAGTTATCTTCCACACACTCCAGGAATCTCCTAGACTGCCTCCTCTCCACTGTGTTGAGTTTCCAGCAGACATTCTACAGGTTAAAGTCTCCCATAAGAGCAAGGGCTGAAAACTGTGAAACATCAGCCAGCCACTTATAGAATAATTCATTCATCTCTTCTTCCTGGTCGAGGCATCTGTAACAGACTCCAAAGAAACTCTTTTAAGAGCCGACTTTTCAGTGTAACAGGCACCTTCACCCCATCTGCCTCCAGGCAGCATTGCCTGAGATGCAGCTGAGGCTCTATCTTCTCCCTTTTCTAGTTTCTTTCAGCACCTCTCACTTGAGACTTCCCTGATCCTGTTTTGGTCTAACAGGAACATAACATGGTGAATAGAGCAGCACCATGCAGAATTGTACAATCTCAATTTTAGCCATGTACCAGCTTGTTTTTATTTCATTTAAGAGGCCTCACTGGAGGCACGACAGTTTCATTACCATTGTAGTACTTTACAAACAATACATCAACCAAAGGATTAACTACATAAACATCCTGTTAAACTTGCTGTCATTATTTCATTGTGATCTGATGATAACTCCATAAGTTATTGCTAATACTAATTCTGTCTTGACAGATTTGGCACATATAACGATTTCTACAGTCCCTTCCCAGCATAGGCATTTTCCTGCTTCTTGATCTCCACTGCTTTTGTGTTACTTGAAGAGCCTCCTGCTTTCTCCAGAGAATTTTATAACTCTTTTATCCAATCTCACAGCTGCTCAGCATCCACCTAACTGACATGGCCACCTCTGGAAAGGAAATGTAAGGATGAGTTGATAAAATATTCTTCTGGACATGGTATTTCTCAGTAATGTCATACATGAAAAGACTGCAGGTAATGTGCCTCTCAGGAAGAACTGAAAAGAAGAATTAAAGTCAAAGAAGAGTTGAAAGCATCTCTTTTTTTTTTTCCATTGTGGAGAAAAAATTACAGCCACTCATCTGGTTTACTAGTTGTCTCATTAAAAGGTTTACTACACTCAAGACTCTGAATATGCAGAATTGTTTTTTGGTTTATAAAATGTAATTATTCTAAAGCATTTTTGTTTAAAAGACGTAACTTGGCACCCTTAACAACCAGGGTGTCAGCAAACTGATAATTTTAACTTCACAAATGCTGCTACAAAAATGTTTTCCAAAAAACTTTTGCCTTCAAGGTAGGAGAAGCATGGACACAGGCGACTTAGCCTGGGGTTTAGATTTAGTTTCCAAAACTATGTTTTTTTGGATGCTAATACTGAGAGGTAAATTTCATTATTAACTGAGGTTAAAAAAGGCTCTGCTAAACCTTCAGTGGTTTGGGGAAAAGGGTATTTGGTAGATTTTAGAGAAAAATATAAAAGCAGAACTTCTGAGTGTGAGCATCCTAGCTAGTGCATATCCTTCAGATTTTATAGAAAGCAAAGTATTCCCAGAAAGACACCAATAGTTTCCATGAGTTTCTGGAATCTATGAGTTTGCCAAGCAGATTTATTTTGTACCCTTCAAAGAATAAAGTTAAGTTTGATTAAGAGCAAAGAAGTATCCATACATATATTTCTGATGTTAACTATATCAAACATTGGTTAAACCTTTAGAGTATTACTACTGCAGTAAAAGCCACATTTCTTAAAACATGCTAGCATACATTAGCTAACATTTACACGACACTTCAAACTCTCAGGGTTCTTGCTTAGTACAGAGAGCAAGAAAAGTCTGTTAAAAAAGCTAGTGTTGTTTCTGTTTCTAAGGTCTAGCATGGAATGGTATTACGTTCACAAAATTATATTCACCTACTGCTTTGCACTCACCCATAGCTCAAAACATGAATACAAAGCAGCATGACTCAGCTAGATATAACGGGTCTGTGATGATTCCACTGGGCTGTGAAGAACTGTTGAAATTTGATTAACCTGTGAAAGGGGAAAAGACAATGAGTTATGGAGATAGCACTTGCTTCTCTCATAGTAAAGTGTCTACCACATTATGATCTTAAAATAGTGCTACTATTTGGGAGAGACATTTCACAGAAGAATTGACACCTTACACACCCTTCAAAAACCATAGCTAGCCAGCTGACAGATATCCTCCCTTAGCAAATGGGCTGCTGAGACAGTTCACATCCCAGGGTTAGTGCAACATTCTTGTTCTCCAGTGGCAAAATCCCATTCAGCCTCACTTTAAAACCTGCTGGCAAATGAAGGATAAATCACTCTAAGTTTAACACATCTAAAATTGTATTAGCATGCTAGAAATTATTTAAATGGACTTATTTTTGCAGCCATACTTGATTGTATGAGTATTTTTCCCCTTTGACCTGCCTGCTTAAGAACTCTCTTAAACTGTCTTCCAAAACATATTCTCAGATATTTTCTATGCTTAATCTCTTGCTTGTTTTCACATTTCCTACTCTGGTCAAAAATTTAAAACATTTATTTCTGCTTCCTACTTTTAACTTAGAAAGTCAGCAATGCTATGAAAAAAACCCCAGTATGATATTGCAGAGATGTATTAATATTACTCAACATTCAAAGGTTTGCTAAACCCAAGAACTCATCAAAGACTTCTTCAGTGTATTACACAGAACTAACCAAGAGCTCCCTACTTTCCAGGGAAGCACAGATTTTATGGGAAATTTACTGTATTAGACTAGACTATTCAAAACAAACAAACAAAACAATATAATTTCATTTCAGCTTGGCTTGTACAGAAATTAGTGTATTTCATTTTGCTGAACTGACTGATATGACTCACTTCCTGGCAGTTAACAAAATAGAAAACTACTTTTCCCTTTGCCCCAGAAGGAATATGTTGACTCCTGTTCTCATCCAGGGTTGATATTACAACTATCTCCCTGGTTGAACTGCTGTGGAGTCATAGAAGAGAAGGTGATTAACTAGAAAATTATTTTGGTAAGGGAAGAATATCTGTAAGATTTTTTTTTTTTTTCAGAAGGATGCTTTTTCCCTCAGCCACCCCTGCAAAACACTGAAAACGGGAAAATCTGGATAAGTTACGAAGTGCCTTGGGAGAAGTCATGTGCATTTTACAAAGTCTGAAGCGTGCAAATATCTCTTGACATGGAAAATATACCTCTACATTGGTAAATTCTTGGCTTTTAAGAACTTTGATTCCCTGGAAAAATCTTTGAAACAAGAGCATTTCATATCAGCAAAGCTCTTCATGCAAATACCAGACTTCCTTGTTCAGGAGCAATTCCAAATCCTGCTTAGCTCTCATAATAGTCCCCTTCCATCTGAGAGACTTCTGTAGCATGTATCAGATGAGTGTAGTTATTACTCTCCTAGAAATTCTTCTATTAACACTATCTGCTTATACTTCAAGGTAAAGAACATTTCTTCACCCAGGTCACTACTCAATGATACAACTGCAGTTTTCTGGAGCGGAGATATATTGGTCTATAAATCAAAGAAACCTTTTAAAGACATTTCTCGACTACATTCTGATTGTGCAAACACAAATCCATGGGGAACCAAATGGATACAAAACATCTCCCTGGCAGAGAAGCCTTGCCCTCTTAAATTCATCTTTCCAAGGTTGCCTGTTCCATGGAAAGCACCATAAAGAAAACAAAACCAAATCACACCACAGAGCAAAAGCAGCTAGGCATCTTGAATTTCTTTGGAAATGCTGTTCATTGAAATGATTTCAAACCAAAGAAATTTGTGACTCTACTGATGTTAATATTTCTTCAAAGTACCCTCATGTGTTTACCCATAAGGAGACAATGGATTCATCATTCCAACTCAGCAAAGAACTTTTTCTGTGATCAAAAGGTAAAGCACCCATGAAAGTTTTTTGCAGTCCCTTTTTTCTGATATAAATCTGAAAACACCAAAACAACCACATCACTATTGCACTGATGACCCTTAAGACTGAGCTGTCGCTCGAATACCACTAAGTAAAACCTGTCAAAATGTGCTATGACCACTAAACTAAAACTAATGACTTCACCAGCAGCCCCTGGCCTCTAACAAGCAGAAAATAACATTGATCTTAATCAGATCAGACACCAGATTCACTCAACTCTATCTCAAAGTCTATTTGATTTCATGCTTCATTATAAAATCAATTAATTGCTTCATTGCCTAGTCATTTTATATGTTTCTTATGAGACATATTGTGTTGATATTCAAAAGATAGCAGGCACAGATATTTTGTATTAGCCACACACAGTAAGAGTAGGAAAGAGCATTGTTTTTAAAAGATGCAGCATATATAAAACCAATGCCATGAACGAGTTCACCAGACCATGCAAAGCAGCGAGATCAATTGTACCGGCCAGGGGGTCTTTCCTGAGTGCCTAAAAGCCCTGCTTTCACAGGGGCTTCACAAACTGTGACAAGGAGGCAAGCCCTATTCACAAATCTGTCCTCAGCAGCACCTTTTGCCAGTGCACAAGCACTGCCCAGCAGAAGAGCTCAATCTCCTCAGATCCGAAAGCTGAAACATTTTCAGTGCAGTGAGGCATTTTAGAAGCTGAAACTATACATGAAACACCAAGGTAATCAGCACAGACATGCTGAACATGTGGAAAATTTAAGTCAAAATGAGGCTCTTTTGTGGCTTTGCAATATTAATTTCATTTTCCACGCAACTTGTAAATTTGAGTGGATGTTTATGGAAAATGGGATCGTGCACTCAAGCATGAGTTTCCAAATTAAGTTGATTTTTAAGGAAGTTATTTATAGTTTATTCTATCAAGCTTTTCAATTACATCTAGATTTTGTAGAGCACTTAACCATGATGCATTTCAGTTCATGATGCAGTTTCAAGAATATATAACTAGAAACATTCCTTTCAGACAAATGGGATTCCAATATTAGCAATAAGAGAAGGAATTTGTTAAGATTCAACCCTACAAAAAGTATGTGTATATCTTTTCTACTGCAGATAGTATTTGCAATAGATGTGGGCTGGAAAACTGTTTTTCTGGTTTTTATATTAACTTTTGTCCCAGTTTCCATGCACATATTCCGAAGAGTACTTTGCTTTAGCTTTCCTGAAGAAGTGCTCCTATAACAAATGCTTGATTTTTTACCTTGGATTTAATTATGTGTGGTTTTATCCATTATTCCTTATGCTTATTCATTGATAATCTGTCATGTTCTCTTCTTCTGTCATTTACAAATATTCTTTGGAAGTGACATAATGACATTAACCCTGGCCTACTTTTGAGGTGTCAATAATTTATAGAAGCCTGTTTTGCAGTGCTTCTGAAACCATTCCTTATTTGTATCAAAGCTGTACAAGTTGCAGTCAGAGCTGAGTTTCACCCAGCACTATCCTGCTTTTGACACTGACCACCACTAATTCTTTCAAAGGATATTCATCAGGACTTACAAAAGGCAGATATGCAATAGCTTGCTGCCCATAGCATGATTTTTTGCCCTATTAATTAGGAAGAGATTTAGGTCTTCTCCCACGTTGTTATTTCATTTAATCAACATGATGGCAGCTTTTCAGGTTGAATAATCTGTAAAAGCATATACTATTTTCTGGAGTCCCAAAGCCCTGAGTGTGTAGCAGGTCATGTCCAGTCATCCTGGGACACCTGCAAAGGCGGCCCACTTCCTTTCTCAGGCAGAACATCTGCTGCCAGTCAGTCTGACCAGCACCACGGATCTAGCTTCAGTTTGGTGAGAACCCTGCTGGCAATGCAGGGGAATGACTGGAACTACAAGTTAATGGCTGGCTTTCAATAAGCCGAGTAATAGTTACCCAGAAGCAAAGTATGCCGGGGGAAATATTAATCTCAAAACAGCTTATAGTATCTTATATTTTAGGTGTTCATCTGTCTTTTACACAGAAGCAGCCAAAGTCCACAGCGCTTCACATTCTCCCTGATAGGTCCATGTCTGTTGGTCAGAGTCTAATTTCTATCCATTCCTGGAAAGTGATCCCGACATAAATGTTATAGTGCTTGAAGCTTCTTCAAGCTACTACTCTGTCTTCCTGTCCCAGCACAAAGCCCCAACAGCTGCATTTAGCTTCACTGCTTAACTGTTGAGAAATTGCCTTAATCAAATCTGTCTGATTAATGAAAACCCCAAATGTGTAAGTTGAGGTCACCATGTCTTGTGGCAGATATGCCCCTCTCAGTGGGATGAGCACACTGCAATGCTTGATTGCTGCTAGCCTGCCTTCAGAGGACACCTTGAATCAGCTCTCATACAGCTGCTGTTCTGACTCTCCAAGGGCCTGATATATTTGGCATGTTGACTAGAGCCTTACTTACCATGTAGGAGTGGTATGTCAGGAGTGGGAAGCAGAAGAACTTCCATGACACAAGTGTTGGAAATGCCAGCTGGGAAGCATTGGAAAACAGGGTCTGAAGAAATTAGTCTTACTCTGAACACTTGAGGCTAGATAAGCCAATTCCTTAGCTTCTGGAAGATGAAAACAATTATTCTTCTGGAATGAGGATAAGTAAACACTTGAACTCACCAAATTACTGATAGTTTCCATTGACTTGGGAGGGATTTGTTAATTTTTAAGTTTAAACTACGTGCTACTTGAAGACATTTTTATTTGAATATCAATTTCCATTATTTCTCTGAGGCGTAGAGGACTAATACAGCTTGATTACTTATTCAGCAGTCTTCGCTCTCTTTGCTTGACAGATACTTATCTCTAGGAATTAATACTTCTTCTGGTGAATCAATTTACAGCAGCACTTTCATAAACTTTCATAAGTTAGTCTGATTATATCCAGTTCTCATAAGCTAAGAATCACATTTCCTCATGTATGTCATCCATAATAACACACAAAACTTTGTTTCCAGGGTTCTGCCTTCACTATTTCAGAATCAAAGAGTGATTCAGGACTCTCTAAATAACCCTCCCATCCTGTGACTAGGAAGAGAGTCACCAATTTCAAACTGAGAAGAAGAGACCACTTTCAGGACAGTGCTCCAGTCAGGAAGAGAAGAAAAAATAGCTGCAGTGAGAAAATGTCACTGGTTTTAACATCCACGATCTGTCTTCTCTACTCAGTTTATTAAAAATTAACATCACCATTTGGCACTGCAAGGATGTGCTGTAGGAATAAGTGGGTTTAAGTCTAAAAATCATGAACAGGGCAGGTTGTTCTCACATTTCTGTTATATAGTGTTCAGAAGTCTTTTGCTTAGTGTGAAGAGCTCATACCAAGTGCTATAGAAACTTAGATTGTGCAATACCTTCCTGGAATAAATCATAAATTTGTATAATTTACATAAGTATTACAACTTTGCCCAGATGATAGCACAAGTCCAGAGTTTAAAGCTCTTGCTTCTGGTGAGTGTACCTTCACCAGCTCCAGTACACTTTTTTTTTACTGTAAAGGTGGTAAAATAGAGAAAAGTGTTGCCCAGAGAGGTTGTGGAGATATTAAAAACCCAACTGGACATTGTCCTAAGCAACTGGCTCTTGCTGCCCCCACTTAAGCAAGGGGGGCTTGACTAGATCTCAAGAGGTTCCTTCCAACCTAAACTACTCTTAAGACCATAATCTGCACCAGCAACACAAAAGAGTTATTTTATTACTGACTGCTACCTTCTTGCACATGTAGCATCATTTTTTGGATCGTCTGTAGTTTTAACTGGGCTACAAGTAACTGCAAATAGATCCTATCGATTACCCTCTAGTTGGGTATAATGTGAAGAAATGAGGTCAAAGATAGCTTCAGCAATGGAACAAACACGTCATCGGCTTTAGTGGTCAGCTAAAGTGAGTGCAATCAAAGTCATACAAAGGGCAAATCCTCTTTCCAGCAATTTGCTGTACTAAAAGGGATAACCCTTGCCTTGCCTGTGATTACTTTCAGAATTCCTAAGTCTCTGCTTAGGAGTAAAAGGGTCTAGGTAAAACAAAGCTAGTGAGAAAGGTTGGGTTTTCACTAAACTTTGAGAATGCAGCTAAAACTTCTTACCTTTATTTTTCCCCCGAAGAACGCAAATGCATTTTTGAGCCACTGAGTAACTAAATCAACAATGTACTTCTGCAAGTAACAAAATTCTACCTTGCTTTCAAACATGCACATAAAGGTACTCCTAGATAAACTCTTACTGTACTTTCTTTCCAGAGCACTGTGCTGTGTCTCATGTAGGGTCCTCAAGGCCCTTACCACTTCTGCTTTCTATCAGAATGTAACTGATCCATCTCAGGTTGGAAATAGAAATGTGACTCTTCAGCTTCTCCTGGGGATAGAAACCTCCACAGACAACTCAGAAAAGAGGGATCTTTACCTCACTAGCTAGAGTTCATCATCTGTGACTCTAGTAATTTCCTTTCTCATCAGAACAATCCTCGATCATGGTAAGAGATCAGCGGTACAAGGCATAGCCAGACAACACTGTTCCTCTTGTTTTTACAGCAATTTCCTGGAATGAATTTATATCTTTAATTTCAGTTACTTTAACTCAACAGCTGTCAAAAGCTTGCAAAATACTATATATCAAGAACACAAAGATACCTTTATTTCTTTAATACTGTGCTAAACAAGTCAGAAGAACTCTCCAATACTTTTGCTGCTTCTTTAGAGGAAAAACAGAAGTGTATTACTGAAAGCCTGTATAAAAGCAGAGTTTGGCTAAAAGAAAACTAAAAGAGACTTGTAAGTTTACTGACATCTTAATGAAAGCGGAAATTTCCAAGCAGAAAGTGCTCAGCAGGGAGCATTTTTATATGGACAAAAAGACATACATAGTGCAGTGAACCACATTCTGTAATGTTTCCTGCACGTATCCTGCAGTGATGAGCAGACAGCGTTCACGGCTTCAGGACACTACACTTTTCACACTCAGCACAGAAGGAAGTGTTGCAGCATCATCTCATGTTGGGGAACACAGAAAACAGGGGAAGAGGATAAGGGGAAAATCTCATCTGAAAAGAGAGAGCAGTACCTGAGCAAGTGCTCACTCTCTCTCGGGCATACACCAAGCCTGCAAGCCTGCTTGCACACAGGCCAGGATTGTTTTTCAATTGTCTCAGCTCTCACTTAGCTTCGACTGTAGACTGTGACTCTCTGACTCCAGCCACTGACTGTGACTGTCACAACTCCATGAGGTGGGGTCTTCTGCCCTATCTGAGCTACTGCTCAGATTGCTTCACAATGGGAAAGAAGGAGCTCTTGCTATTTGTAGATCAGCTGGGACACTGAGATGGATGTGAGGCAAGGTTGCCTTGGGTAACTTCTAACAAACTCAGGAGACTACTTGGATAAGCAAAAACTCCCTGATCACTCATTTAGACAGCTCAGAAGACTGGTAAAGAGGTGAGAAAGCTGCCTGCAGGCAAGCTGTCGGACTAACAGCATGACATTTAGGGTTGGACCAGTACCTCTGCTTTATCTTTAGCTATGAAAATAGCCTGGTTCAGACCTACATCTGACATTCAACCCCACCCTAACAACACCGCCAGCCCCATGGGCCACTCCTCCTCTCTTCCTGCTGCTCTGTGAATCAGTGGAAACAAAGGGAGTACTGTCTGGATGGGAGAGTCACGACTTCCAGAAAAGCTGAGCAACAGAAAAGAATACAGATACATTATTTTGTCTCCATTTATCTCTTCTCAGTTTCTTACTGCGCTTCTGCAGAAGTGCAGTGATTATTTAACATTTAGTGGGCAGAGGTGAGTCTCTATAGCTTGTGGGCTGCTGTATATTCACAATTTTGATGATTAGTATAAAATAGTATGTAAAACCTTGTGCCATGTAGTAAGACATCGCTACATAGGTCAGAACACCACAAGAATTTGCAGGTAAGAAATAACCTTAGTTATTGAAACAGTAAAATAAAAAACCATAATGGAGACAAGGACAACTTACACAGGTATTTAACACTCTTGGAAAAAAATATCTATTTTTGCCAAGAAAAATACACTTACCAATAGAGACAATGTTGCAAAAGCCTTAAGATTACAGTAAATATTTTGGATAAGGATCAAAATACTTGTAGTTGAAGCAATTTATGTTTTCCTGCAATTTTATGAGGGTAGACAGAACAGTCCAAAATATGTTCAAATAAACTATTTTACATCACCATCCAAGTATTTTTCCTTCCTGCAGTAGAAAATGATGAAAATATCAAAGTTTACAACACTACAGAGCTTGGTCTTTTCAGATGATGCACTTGCAAATTTTTCATTTGTTTCGTTTTTAATTCTGTTAACTAAGGACTTTCAAACACCACTTGCACACAAACCCAGAACTATATCTGGTGAAATGCAAGTCATGCAAAACCTGTGCAGCAAGCATGAAAAGTGAATTACTCTGCAAATACCACTGCAGTTTGTCACCAAGAATTTTTGTATTTTAAAACTAACAATGAAAAAAAGTGCTATAAATTTAAGGACAAAATATGTGTAATAACCCTTTACAGTCCTCACAGTCAGTATTTGCTGGATACACGAAGTCAGTTATAGGGCAGCATCTGTCAAAAACAGGAGGCTCTTCTAATTATCGCTTCTTAAACATCTGCAGTTTATGGAAAAAAAAGGAGAAGAATGAATAATTGAAGAACACTCACCATTTGAAAGTCTTAATATTTCTCAGAGATTGTTATGATATTCTGTACCTCCTGAAAAGAACACTGGAAGGAGGAGGGATGGCAGAAATAAGCATTTTCATAATACCATGATTGAAGGAGGACCAAGAATTCAAAACCAAAAATCTCTTAGGAAAAACTCACCAAACAGGAATATTAATCATTTCAGACTTCTGGAAGGGAAGCAGGTGGAATGTGGAACATATTTGGGTTTTGGCAAGGCAATAAAAATACTGATACTGACCTTGAAAAGCTCATCTCTGGAAAGCTGAAGGCATTTTGTGCTATTTTCTGTTATCCTGAGGAGAAAAGGAAAAATTCAGGAATCTTGACAGAGTAAGCTCTGGTCTTCATATGAATTAAAGCTCAAATCACTGAAGTTGATGAATAACTTTACATGGATAGAAAACAGTAATTGAATTTGTTTTACATAAGTTCATTTTACCCCAAAGTGACTTCTTGCAGCTGTGTCACTTTGCTCAGTGCCATCTCTGCCCCTTTGTAACTGTGCCATTATGAGCAAATATCTCTGGTTACTTACTGCTGATGTACACATCTTGTCTACACAATAATACTTCCAAATATCTCCCCAGAGCTAAAATGGGCTTATTACCAGAAAAGATAGTATTTCTTCCATATTATCTCTACAGAACCAGTGCAAAGAGAAAGCATTTGAAGTTTTGCTCTGCTCTTTCATAATGACCACTATGTCTGGTTTTCATAGTGGGAACACAGAGTACAACTGCTGCTGGGAACTGCATTTGGACCCCGATCATCCTTTCATGCACCATGCTGGCATGGCTTTTTTATGCTCTCTGGCATCTGAGTAAAAGTGCAAACACCCCTCTGTTCTCCAGAGCTGCAAGAGGAGAGTCTGAAGCCAAAGGCAACCCTGTCACTCTCCTGCAGAGCTTTTCCCAACTGATTCTCAGTATAATCATGCCTGGTAATTGCTAATTTTTAATTATCTTTGCAGTTTACACCTGTCTAATATCAAACAATTGCTAGCTCCCTTCCCCTTCTGCTGCTATTTAAGCCACTACACAAAAGACACTGCTTTAATATTTAACCTCTGGGCCTACAACAACTACAGAGAAGCACAAGACAGAGATGAAGCAGTAAAATATTTGTAACTAGCTTTAGAAATGTCCTCCAGGTCTCTGCACCTAGCTCTGTGCTTCTTTGCATTCTATGGACAAATTAGCACTGTAGCTGCCTACCACACACAGTTACCTGCGACTTTGCACTCAGAGCTTCAAGCCACCAGAAGCAATTACCCTTGAAGGTGTGCCTGTAGGTCTTAACACAGCATTCACCCAAAAAAGGATGTGAGGGAAAGGCTGGGAGGCCAAGTGATTGCACCAAGGGGTGGGGCAGTACACCTTAGCTGAAGTCCCCGTGAGCCCCAGCCAGACAGAAATGTCACCTCATGCTGCACGTGGCTCACCACAGCACAGTCACCTCCTCTGGGAACACGGGTGGTGAAGCTGCACGTGTGCAAGAGCTGTCTGTCTGCGGCTTCAGAAGCCTCTGAGCAGATGAACAGAGCAAAGAATAGAGGGGGCTAAACCCCTCTTACCTACCTGCTTTGCTTTTTCCATACCCGGTATAAATTCAGACAAAGAACACCTGAATGACTTCTGTTTAAGCACCTCAGACTATTATTTAATTCAAAGAGGAAGAAGAACAGCTAACAATCCAAATATTTGTACTTTGGTCTTTGAGAAGCACAACAGGCAGAGTCCCTTTCTGCTTAAGTGTGAAAGAACAAATGAATAAGTTCCTTGCTCATAAATCCAAGGCAATTTTCTGTTCTCTTCTGTTAATTGTGCATTAACTTCCATGCTCAAGCTTCCCTTGTTTTTGAGTTCAAATTTGCTTCTGGTGCACAAAGATTTACCATTTCTTCCTCCTGTCTCTTCAGTAAGTTCTGAGAACTGCCTCCATCCCTTGATGCTAATGCTTCCTGAAAATTAACCCTTAATCAAAGGCATGGAGTGTTTCAGCTAAACAAGTTAATTCCTCACATGGTATTTTCAGTAGGGTTTTCTGATATATATTATACTTCCTCTGACCTCCTTCACCATACCAATACCGTGGAGACACAGTGAGCTTTAGAGATAGACTAGCTATGGAACTGGCTAAGTTCTGTCATCTGGAAACAAATGCAAGCGCTCCCCTATTGCATTTATGTTGGCTTTACCAGTACTGTTTTCCACTGTGATTAGAGCAGTTGGTGCTGGAAAGTCACTACTGGAGCCATGGGGAGGCCTTACATCTTTAAAAGCAGCATTCTGGTTTTCAGGCAGGGTGAAGTATTGAGCTTATGGGCTACGCAAGTCACCTGCGGCTCTTTTGTGTGGCAACATAACTAAGGCTTAGACACTGATCCTTTCGTCTTGCTCACTTTGACAGATCACTCCCATATACTTCCAGGAAAATAAGACTTCTCTTATAGCAAAAATCCAGAAAAGAAACAAAAAAACCCCACAACAACCAAGCAAACAACAAAACCACCACCAAAAAAACCCAAACCCACGAAGTCTTTACACCATGTTTTTCTTAATCCACCTTAGTTTTCTTGAGAGTGATTGTGACATCGAATGATTTGTTTTGTGGAATCAAAAAACATGGCGTGAAGAGATATTTTTTTTGTTAAGAACTCTCATATTTCAAACGGTTGAAGTGAATATTTTCTCTTCCTTCAGCCTTTCAGTTCATATCTGCATACAGGAAGTGTGCCCTCCCTGCCCAGGTCCTGTGCCTGCTCAGGACTCCCCAGGAGCTTCCTAATGAGACCAGACTTGTTCATGAGATGAAGGGGCTTCATGTTTTTAAGAGGGCTCTCCTTAAAAGCTTTTATTTACTTGTTAAGTAACACATTTGTGTGTTATCCCTTCTGAAACTGATGTGGATGGAATCAGGCAGACAGCACATGTTACATTACATTATGAGGCTTAACATTTTCACTAATTGCATTGACCTCTTTCTGTGAATCACAGATTATTCCCCTGCTCATAAAGCACATCCGATTCCTTTACATAGTTGTCCATGCAATGTGATACAATCACAAAGGCCCACAAGGGGATGAAACCTCGTGATTTATCTATCCAAATGTAAGCAGACAGCATCTCCAGTTTTCATCAATACTTTGTCCACATGAACAGGATGAGGAACAAAGCTCTCTTATTTTCTGCAACTTATACACAGATATTTATTTCTTAACTCTTACTTCTCTTTTAAACAGATATAACAAAACATGAATTGAAATAAGAAAAGCAGCTGATGGGCTCTGACTTGGGCATGTGGTTTTTCAATTCCATGAAAAGTTTCTACAGGACGTAATGGGAAACAAAGCATCAGTATAGACACCTCAAACGGGTATGAGTCAGCCATCTGCTGACATACCAAAGACCTCCATTCAGCATCTCTATGCTGAACTGCATCTTCTGAACAACAATGGGTCCACTGGCTACTCATCAAGAATTTTTGCTGAAATGTCATGCATGCATGTAACTCCCTATGAGCTGGGAAGAGCATCATTGCTCCTCCTTACTCCATTGCACTAAGTCAGAGAAGCTATTAGGATAAATGCATTCTCTATGATAACTAGGTTTTATTACTTTGGCCAATTTCTCATAAACAAAAGTGCTAAGATGAAGCAAATAGTCTGCTAGCTAGCTCAGGACTGAGCACAACTTACATGAAATGCTGAATCAAATGCACCAGGAAAGGTAATTCCAAATGCTTCGACTAAATGAGCCATTACGGTCCTGCCAAAATTCTCAATTGCAAAACCAGCACCCGAGACAAGAGCCCACTCAAGTTAGCAGAAGTCCTTATGCTGGCTTCAGTGGACTTTGGATCAGGGTCTTTCATATAAAACCACCTGCACCTGTGAACTTTCCTATTTATGAATAAAGCGAAAAGATCACTTCTGAACACAAAGAACTGTGTCTAACCAACTGCTCTTTATGGCTTTTGCTCTCCATGTAGTAATTTGAAGATGAATCTTTCAGCTGATGCTTTTCACTCTCCTACGCACAAAATCTCCCTGCTGCCAGGAGAAGAGGAAAAAAAATGTTATTGGCTAAACTTAAAACCCCAAAATTGCAGGCTAGTCTGTAGCTGATTGCTTCTCTAAGCTGCTCTGTTTCAAAAGGAAATCTCATTACTGCTTGTATAATGATCTTATTGATCATTAAACATTGCCTTTTACTAGAGCTACAGTAACACTAGAAGGATATTTGATTAAGAATGGATAATTTCTTTCAAATACATTCACGACCCTTCTGCATACTTTTTACAAAATATCATAAACAGAGTAATGGAATATGCACGAGCAAAGCAAGCTGCACATGTAGGAACATGCTTGTTTTCTCATAGATGGTGTCTTTAAATATACTAAACCTTTTTTAGGGTTATTTTTCAAATGAGGAAAAAAAGCAATGAGAACACTAATAAAAAGTTCAAATGTGTCAACTTTTTTTTAAAAAAAGAAATACCTGGTATTTTTAATTCTCCCACAGCACTTCTTTGATCAAAAATATTTCTAAACTTAAGCTACAGA